TCCTGGGGAAAGTGCATCAGCTAGAGTGAACATAGAACCTGTTGCTCTATTCAACAAAAAGAAAGATGATTTATACGAACTTGAAATAATTTCAGCTCCCTTCCTGAAAAATGATAAAACACTGAAAGTAAAAGAAAGTGACGGCTTCATTCTGAAATGGTCTTTTAGACCATTTTTAGGTTTTCCCAGGGTTGACTCTCAAATGAAATCTGGATGCGCGGCTTTATAGGGTGTGTCTAATAATAATAATGAAGAAGAATTTAAATTAAAATCAACGAGCCAGGCCAATATTAGAAAAATTAACACTGCCGTTATGTATAAGAATAAATGGAATAGAAACTACGGTTCATGTGGTCAAGGCAGCCATTCAAAAGATCTGATAAAAATTTTGTCTTCGAAACGTTAGTGGCAAAAGGCTTGAAAAGAGCAAAGCATCTAAATTTGTGGCTTATGTATTCCCTGTCAAGGGCATTTATGACAACCTGGCTTGTGGAAACAGGACCCTGCCTGGAGAAGGGCACTGGGGCCTCATTTGGCACTCTGGGCTCTGGACCTTGGATAACCTAGGAGATGCCACCAGCTCTTGGGCTCTCCTTTGTTCAACAAGGAGTTCGGCTCAGAGGATCTCCCCTAAATCCAGATCCCCTAAATCTGCATGCAGACACAAGCTTTCTGTCAGACTCTCCAAGCCAAAAGGAGTTCTTCACTCTCTTTAAGACCAGCTCAAATCAAATCCAGCGTGATACTTTTCCATCTGTGCTAATTTTAGGATAGAGATTAGAAATGAGAAACTTAAGGAAATAGAAAAAAAAAAGTAACTGAAATATGTATTTTGTTTGTTTCTGTGGTGCTAGGGCCTCGTGCATGCTACGTAAGTGCTCTGCCACTGAGCTACATCTCCAGCCCTGAAAAAAAATATCTAGTGTCCAAGTAATATCTTATTCCTTTGCAAATGTATCCTAAACTTTATGTTTTACTTTGAAAGTCCCAGAGTCATCAATAAGGTCTTCAAGTGTTTTAAATGTGTTTCCAGAAGAGTGTTATCATGACTTGGTTATTTCTAGAGGGCTTCTCTCTTTTTCTCTGAATTTTCTCATGATTCCCAATGATGGAGTACTAATAGAAACGCAAAAAAAAAAAAAAAAAAAAAAAAACAGTAATTGCCATTTTTTCCCTAATAACAATGTAATAATTCTTTAGTGAAAACAGGAATTATGAGATAATTTTTAAAGTGCAAGGCTTTCTATTCAAAGCATTGCCACAACATAGATAGCTTATTTAGTTTACAAATAGCAACACAAAAAGGGTTTTTTTTTGGTGTCTTTAAGTCTGCCCAGCATAGATGAAAGTGCTTCTTTCTCACCCTTAAATATTTGAAGTTGCTGCCCCTAAGTCTATTACCTTATCACAATTGTATAATTCTCTTAAAGAGAATTCAGAGAAATAGTCCTCGTTTTGAATTTTTAAGCACTAATTTATAAAAGCATTGGTTGATTCCCATAATGCAGCTGATAGTCAAATTGGACAAGATAATGAATTGACTGAGATCACTGTTCCACCTTCATCCAAGAAAGCTGCCTCTAAAAAAAGATCTTAAATTGCTGTAGAAATCCAATTTGTACGAAGCAAAAGAAGCATATAGATGGGAAACACCGGCCATGATCACATTAATTCTGTGACTAACAGCACTGCTTTGAAGTGAAGAAGAAGGAAAAAAAGGAAAGATGACAAAAATAATAAGTCCACTCAAATCCCAATTTTAATCCACAGATACAACCAGAAGAAAACCAACCACCAACCAATACAAAGTGCACATTTAAGGATCCAGTTATCATCACACTCCCAATTTTCAGTTGACAAGGAAAACTCCAAATGCTAAGGAAATACTATAGGACAACGACACATCACTACTAAAAAGTAAATTATAGTGGGAAATCAGGAGACGGAGAACTTGACATCAGGACAAATAGCCATGGAAACTCCACGGTTGATTGTTTTTGAACACGCAGGTGTGGGAAACTGACACGTAGTTATAACAAGAATATTCTACTTACTATAATTGAAAAGCTATTCAGGAAAAGTCTCTCTGACAGACTGCTGCAATATCACAGAGATATAGAAATAAAGGCATGGTTTCTACTTTTTGTGGGAACGTTCTACACCATCTGCGCAGGTATAAACTATATACGGTTACAACTGACTTTGACTTGACAGGTTATTTATGGGTATCAGCAATTTGCCTTAGAATTCAGTTGGCTTGGATGTTATCAGTTGAGCAAACGTGTTTACTCTGAGTGAAGTTGAAAAAGAAAAATCAACAGGAATCAGTAAGAACTTTAAAACTATCAGATCTATATAAAATGCTATGATCAAAGGAAAATAAGGGAAAAAAWTTATGGAGAGACATGGTGAGTTCTTTTTAAATTATAAAACCAAAGTAATAGCTGACAATCAATAGCATCCTTCTTCAGGGAAGTACACATCTAGGTTTGGATGTGGGAAATGGGGTTGTTTTGTTTTGTTTCTCATTTTTATCTTTCTTTTTAAAAAGAACTCCTTCTTACTAAAATTCAAATACTTGTTGAAGTGATTCATGAAAGCTTGTAGAAAAGAGAATTCTTACCTGACACACTGCTTAACATGCTTCATTGCTATTTTTACCAGAAATCGTGATTTACATAGAGAGACACACATACAACACCTTCCACACAAAATGCTGTAAGTCCCAGGGAACTGAGAAAAGCAACATTAAAACTCATAACTAAGAAATCCATTAAAAACACAAGACTGACCCCACTTAGCCAAGCACCAAGTTCTTTCTCTGCTTAATAAGCATAATTCTTACCATTATCTGGAGAATAAAATCAGCAACGTGTTGCTTCCTGCAGTCACCAAATCAATTTTTTTCTTCCTTTCTTTCTAGTAACTTCTTTCCAACAGCAAGATTAGGAAGAAAATCAATCTTTGAGTATTTGCCTCAGTGTTTCAGACCAGAAGACTATGAAACTAGCTCTTAGTAAAAAGAAAAAAAAAAAAAAGGTCTGGTATTTTACAATCACTTCTGCAACCCAGAGGTACCTCCTGGACTCTGTACCTCCTTCCCTCCCTCGTTCTCTAAGTTTCTTTTAGTAATGAGACTAATTTTTCCAGTAGCCTTGAACTCCCTAGATTTAACTGACATGGAAAATGTGACTAAAATCTTGTAGAACTGTCTAGTCTTCAACCCTGCACAGAATCAACCCTGTGGTGTTAGGGAACACCTCACAAGCAGCTACATGCTCAGTCCACACTCCTGCGAGATCTCTGCAGCACACACCACCAAATAACAGTGCGCCATCTAGTCCACAAGCTGCAAGCCCCATCCCAGAAGGGGGGACACCTTCAAACCCTGGGAGCTAAGAACTTGTCAGGGTTCAGCTGCTCTAAAGGTCCAATTGTTTATTTAAATAAAAAAAATATCGCTACTGAGATAATCCACATCTAGTGGATATGGGAAAATTTAGGTTATAATGGCACTACAAACTTTTACATCTAACTTTGATTTACAAGATAAAAGCCAGTTTTAAATTAAAAGGGCTTTCTGTTAATAGAGCTTATTATTCTGAAGACGGGAATGATTTTCTTCGAAAGTTGTCCCTGGGTGCATGCCTATTATCTTTGCTTTTCCCCTTCCACTAATGAGCATTTATCTAAAGAGCCTGTTAATCCTCTGATGTGTGCTTCTGGTCAGAGGTAACAGTTTGAATAAAACCACTAATCACTGATCACTAAATCACTGATCATTAATCACACTCTCCAGTGCCCGTGACCTGGGCCATTTTTTTCCTTTAGGTTTATGCATCACAAACAAGAAGTTTAACATTTAGATGCCCATGTATTGTGGAGGAGGGGTATACTATTTCATCTCTAGATGTGAATAAATAATAAATACTGCCACAAACTTGGGGAAGGGATGTCAATTAGACCCCAGACAGGAGTTGCACAAATGCCTAGCCTACAGCATGGCTTTCCCTTTGAAGAAAGTAGATCTGATTATAACAAAACACGTGTTCTTCAAGAAATTCCCACCTATTCAGAATATAAATTTTCCTTTATTTAGCTTTCACTAGCTCCAAATCAGAGAGCACCCTAGTCCCCTGTCCCCCTCTATCCAAAAGCCTGTTAGTAAAATTTTCATTAGATTTCTGCTGCACACTTTCCACACTACCCAAAGGGTTCTTTTTACTTTTTAGCCCTTGAACAAGTCACACACAGGGTGTTTTTATTTCAACTGCCTATAGGGAGATTCTGACTCAATTCGATGACTTATGTATTTAACTTCCTCTTTAAGCATAGAAACTTTAGGTTAAGAACAAGAAAGTAACACGTGCAGCAGTTTATTGTATGGCGCTTTGAGTTCAACGACTCAACGCTCCCTCACTTTGGAAATAAAACATCTAATCTTGATTCTTTCTGCTAAACCTAACTTAGTCCGCTCCTGGCTTCTTAGTCTTCCCTCTTGGGTTAAACGGTTCTGGGCAGGCGCTGTGTCAAGTTAAATACTTTGTTGTTTTGGTTGTGTTGCTTTCCTAAGCCACCGCAAGGACGCGGGACACAGTACTTATCATAACGCTTCCAAACACTTCCTGAGATCAGGGCTGAGCATTTTCGCCCTGGAAAAGGGGGCTTGCTGGTGACTTTCTTAAATAATAGAAAAGGGCAGATTGTGCGCTGATCAGGTACTGAGGTCTCCTCAGACACCAGAAGCTCTTACCCACACTCCAGGGACAGTGTTCGCCCCAGGGAAAGCTGTAAAAGGCGGAGGCGGGTCTAGAGTGATAAAGATGAGGGCGGGGGAGGGGCGGGAAAGGAGGGATGGGGAATAGAGGGCAATAAAGATGCCCAGGGAATGGGCGATTGCACGAGTATATTGGGGGGTGGGAGTGAAAAGCAGAGTTGCTTTGTCAGCATTCTAAGCCCCTGAACCCTTGAGTATCTGAAGCTGTTAATCAAACACTTACTGGCCTGCAGAATGACGTAATGGACCTGTATCCAGCCTTTATTCCTTGACACATGTCAGAAAGAGGGAAAAATAAAAAAATTTTTAAAAATAACCAAACGCACTCTGCAGACTCTGACAACGAAATATACAAGCAGCACACTCCAATTCCCGGCCTTGAACAAGCATCATCAAGTGGGGGGCGGCACTCGTTGAGGGTAAACTGGAGGCTTTATCTATCAGACACCCCCAGGAAATAAATCTAAGGCACAGAAGAAGCGGCATGCAGCCCCCGGGAGAAAACATCTCCTTAGTTCCTTCGTGTCTTGCCCCTCTAAGAACTTCGTAAAAAGTTTAAGTGTTTGGGTTGAATCTGCCGCAGAGGAAGTCTTCCACCGCCGGTGCTGAGAACTGTCTGGGCGCCACCGCGAGCTGTCATTTGGGGCAGCGGCGAAGAGGTAATGATGGCAGCGAGAAAGAGGCGGATGGAGGAGTGCACGCGAGCTGACAAACAGCCTCGTCACTCACGAGCCCGGAGCGCCTGGAGTGAAAGTCAAGTGCCCAGCGAGGCGACCTCCCCTCCCAGGGCGCGCGCGCGCCCACCAGCTGCAGCGGGCAGCCCTGCGGGAGAGGTGGCAACAGCCGGCTTGGTACCGAGAGAAAGCGAGCCTCCGGCACACTTGCCCGCCCGCCCCCTAGGTGACCCGGTGTCCTTGCAGCGCCTGCTGGAAGTTTGCAAACTTTCTCCCGGGGTTCCGCCGCATCACTGCAAAGCAGGCTACGCGGGGCGAGGCTCCTGGCTGGTCGTCTCCGCTGCTGCCGCTGCCGCCGCCGCTGCCGCTTGACCACACTTCTGCAGGGTTCCGCACCTTGCCAGGTCTCTGGAGGCAAACACACACCCCCGATTCATAACTGTTCCCCGTGTCAGGGAAACTCACGCGCGCTCCCACACACGCACGCACGCTGCGGCGAACACGGCGCTGGCTCCAGTTAGCATCCCTCTAGTCGCTCGGCGCAGCGTCCACCGAGACGCGCTCCCGGACGGACACGGCGTGGGGTCTCTGGGATGACCACAGGACACAGCAGAATTCCACAGTCCATCAGCAATTGCGGCCGGACTTCCCTCTGGTCCGCCAAAATGTTTACAAACACAGATCACCCTCCAAAAATATGCATCGCATCTTCCCTACTCCTTGCCCTGTGACCTGCCCATTGGACCAAGTAACCTCGCGGCTACTGCCGAGAACCAACCCCTGCAAACAAGTACACTCCCGAGATGGCTCCCGCGGCAAGTGCAACAAAAGTGCCTAAATGCAAAACCCCAGAAGTGGCCGAGCCGTATTTTTAGGAACTTACCAAACAAGTGTGGAGAAGGCAAGAGCGGAGCCCGGGTGAAGGGACCACGTTGGACTGAGCAAAGATTACAATACATTCTATTTAGAGTGCATTACATCACCCCCCCGGTGACGTCACGTGGGATTCCTGAACTTCTAAATCATTGCGGTCCGCGGGGGAGGGAGGGAGAGAGGGCGGGGCCCGGCACGCTGAGGGGGCGGGACCGCCCCGGCCCCGCCCCGGGCCCCGCCCCTGGAGCGGACTCCGTTGCACCCGCCCTGGAGCGGTGGCGGCGGCGGCGGCGATCGCGCAAGCAACAGCTTGCAGAGCCCAGCGCCGTGTGACACGGCTCCCTGACATTAGTGGTGTGAGTCAGCTTGGAAACAATCCTGATGGTTTCAGACAGGACCACGGAGAAAGTGCAGACCCGGGCTCTCCCGCGGGAGGGCCTAGTAGGTTCTGAAAGGTGTAAGGATTTGGGGATCAGAAGGGGGAGCTGGGAAGGGGATGCTGAAGGAAGTGGGAACAGAGTTTCTGCAAATAAAACTGCGGGACGCTCCCCATCCCCCTATCAGAAGATGTCCACCTCCTTTTGCCTGCGACAGTCATGACCTCATTGCAGTGTTCCCTGCATGCTGGCTTCTCAGAGCACTCCCAGGACACCCCTTTTTCACTGCCCCCTACCCCATCTCACCTCCAGGAGAATAACTTCCTTATAGTGCACACTCACTTGAAACACATAGCCCCCACCCTTTCCAAGTGCCCCCCGCTTCATGCATCTGAGGGACTGTAGGGAGAGTCCTCCTGAAGGCGAAAGGTGAATCTCAGCTAGATCCCAGTGATGAGCCCGATTTAGACTCAGCGTCAGAGCCGGAAGGGTCCTTGGCGATCGCTTTCAGAGCCTCCTGGGTTACTGGCCCAAGCTCACCGGCTGGGAAGCCGCAGAGCCAGGGCCAAAATTTTGGATCTGTGCGCCTGGTCTGCAGTGAGAAAGGAGCCTGGCGCTTTCAGCATTGGCCAGTCATCATCGCCATCACCATCATCATCCCAGCTTAATTTCCTTTCAAAAGTTCTCTCTGTGGGTAGTATTCAAGGGGAAGGCATAGGTTAATTTCCAGCCCGATTCTAGATGACCACCGCCATCCTTGCAGCAATTCACACTTTGCAAAGCAATTGAAACCACGTGAACTCTTATTTCTCACAACAACCCTGGTACAATAAGGAGAAGTAGGACGAGTGTTATAATTATCACATTTTACAGGTGGGCTAAAGCAGACTCTAGAAGGTTAGAGGACTGGCCTGAGATCATCTGCCAAGCAGGTGGTGGCACTGGGACAATTCCAACCCCCTATTTTCTACCCCAGACCCCGTCTGGGTTCCTTTATAGAACTAGGGGTGCACATTTTCCCTTCCTGTGGGTTATTGCTGGTTAGAACGTCTGGAAAGAACTTCCTGGCTGGGAGTTGGATCTTTGCTTAGGAACAGTTTAGCCGCCATTAACAAACAATAATCATTCCTGACATTTATGTAACATCTGACATTTATATAGTACCTCTCATCCCAATGTATCACAGCCGTGACTATGCACTTTGCCAGAGGATCATGACTGGACTGGCTAGAAATTATAATGCTTTGCCTGGATTGTCACATATAACTGAGCTGCTTTTGACATATTAAATAGAAGAGCTTTCTATTTCCTTTCTGTACTTAAGTTTAAGTGACCCCCCCTTCCCCTTTAGTGGTCCTTGAAACCACAGGAACTGATGGCTGTTTGCTCCTCACGGCCTTACTCAGAATTCCTCCATGAGTTTCCTTGTTCTTTTCCACATGTAGCCCTGAAGGAACAGCAAAAGAACGGCTCCAGTCCTAACCTGAATCTTAACCAATAAAACTTTAAATATGACAGCTCCATTACCTGAGTTATGGAAGGAAGCAATAGCCCACTCAAGAATAGCTTCCTGCCCACATTCTGACTCAATTACCAGCACAGCCTTTCCCACCTAAAGCAGGTATCCACCTCTTTCTCTCTCAGAGGAAAAGTGTCAACAACCTAGAGCCAAAAAAAGAAAAAAAAAAAAAAAGAGGGACATATAATTCAACATTTTAGTGCTCAAGATGAGAGCTTATCCTCCCCCACCCAGGCCCAGTGGACTGGTGTGGACTGAAGGAATAGAAGGGTGAATTAAATAAGCAGAGCCAAGAAGATAATAAAAAAGATTTAAAAACCCATGAGTAGTTAACCAACATCCAAATTTGAAATTTTTAATTCCCAGTATTCTCTAAACAGAAGGATGTATATATGAGTTTTCATGTAAGTCACGGGGATAGTGGGAAGAATTCTAGTAACGCATGTGAAGAATGATACCACTTGCATTAACAAACGTGCTTGGCACAGAGCAATCACTGTGTAAGCATTCACCCTCTTTCTATTAATGAAAGCACCGTGGCTAATGCTGTGATTGGTGGACTTTTAGTGATTTGAGCAAACTTAACCAAATATTTGAAAAGGAAATGTTTGGCCCCATAGTTCCCTCAATCCCACACTGCCCTCCCCATGCATAGCCTGCATCAAACAGCCTCCCATCTATCAAACCATGTCAGCAGAGCCCTCATGTTTGTGGTCTCGCATTCCTGCCTACCTCGTGCTCACCCAGTTTCTTCCAGGATTTCTCAGAGCCAAAGTAGCATGGAGGCTGCAGTTCAAGGGGCAGCCATGCAAGGACATCTGGGAGGGAACCTCAGCTGGTGGTCACTACAGCTTGGAGCATTTTCCCCTGGGGTGCCAGGACCAGCTCCCCCCTACACACACACACACACACACACACACACACACACACACAAGTAATACCATTTCACCTCCAAGTCTCCACCCTCTGTGGCTTGTGAGACATGTGGAGACATGGACCCTTATACCAGAATCAAGGTAAACAGACTGGGGTTACCATACAACCAAGGTCTGCCCCTCCCCCATAGTCATTCCTGGTGCCAGCGAGCTGAAACAATGAGGAGCTGGTGATTAATAAAATGAATGGTCTCCTTCTTCCTAGGTCCCAGACTCCCACAGAAGTACTAAACTTAGCAGAGGAAGTAGCAAGTACCTGGGCAACCCTTAAAGACAGTTTCTGGGGTCAGACCTCCTCAGGGACTTCAGTTCAAAGGCTTGGCATGGAGCCCAAGATTCTGCATTTGTGATTCTGTTACAAGAACCTTGGGAACCCCACTTGGAGTGACTCTGGTTTAGTGGATTCTTAAAAGGACAGTGACCTGGGAAGAAGCTGGTAAGGGGAAAGGGTAAATCTACAGCATTAATTATTTTTTCTTTTTCAGTTTTCTCTATTTTTTTTGTTTTTATTTTTTATTTCTTACTTTGCAACACTAAGAAATATGCCCAGAGCTTGTATGTTTCTTACTAATAGTCTTTGTGGCTACCCAAAGACTCAGACCCCCCCCCCCAGAGAAAGATTATTGAACCCAGGGCACTTAACCACCAAGCAATATTCCCAGCCCCTATTTTACTTTTTTTATTTTGAGAGACGGTCTCACTGAATTGCTTAGCACCTCACTTTTGCTGAGGTTGGCTTTGAACTCACAATCCTCCTGCCTCAGCCTCCTGAGCTGCTGGGATTGCAGCCATGTGCTACTGGCACCCAACAAGAAAGATTCTTCTCACACTTTCTGCACACACCCTGAGAACAATTCTTACCCCTTTATTTTGTCATTTGTGGCTTTTTCACAAGTTAACACTGGTAGTGAGAGAGATGCTGCTGAAGCCCACTTGGTGACTAAACCCCTTACTTTACCCTTCCTAGGAATTTTCTATTCTTTCTAAGATGGATTTCACCAGTTTTTTTAAATTATTATCTTAATTGAAGGGATAAAGATTTCAAATAAATGAACTGAAAAATACTTTAGAAAACAATAACTACCATGACCCAGTTAACTAAAATCTACCAAGCATTTACTGAATGCCAAACCTTGGGCTAAAGGCTTCATGTGTGTTTTCAGTCAATCCTCCCAACAAACCATTCTTAAACTTTGCAACAAGGAAATAATGGGGGCTGGGGGAGGGTGGTAACCGACCCAGGACCATACTGCTAGAGCTTGTCAAGCTGAAGGAAGAGCTCACCTTACCAGTGCCTATCCCAGGACCTGTCTGAAGGGCAGCCAGTGCTGCATGGTCCTCAGCCCAAATCAGCCTGAGGATTCAAGAAGCAGGAAGCTTGAGAGTAAGTTAGAGATGGGCAGTTTGTAGGGAGAGCCATCAGCCTCTACCTAAACTCTGTGCCTGTTTAGCCAAGGAGCATTACAGGCAGGGCCAGCTTCTGGGCCTGCTAATGCCCAGGTAATTTGGGCCTCATGCTCAAAAGGCCCATCCCTGGTTTAAGCCTCTACTTTCACCATTTGAAAATCCTTTCTCATTTTATCTTTGAACTGTGCTCTATCTATGAACTGTGTGCTGGGACATGGATCACACACATGAGCCGAGATCTGTGCACGATGTGTGTCTGCTATTCCTTGCACCCTGATTGTACGGGGAGATCATGTTGCCTCATGAATACAAAATGTCAGGGATCCAACAGGAGTTCCACAGAGGGCTCAATGCAGGGGTCCACAAGACTCAAAACAAATGCAAGGTGAACAAGTGATGTCTATGACTGCTGGGAGGTGAGTAAGGCAGAGTGCCTCCCAGTCCTGAGAGGCCAGGATTTCCTTTCAAAGCAGATCTTTCTTGGGACACAAAAAAAGGCAACAGCATTCAAAAAACACAAATTACCAATGACCCTATCTTGTTTATGTTAGATCTCTGTATGAGACAACCAGGCACGCGTGCACACACACACACAAAAAAAAAAAAAAAAAAAAAAAAAAAGAGAGAGAGAGAGAAAGATAGGGCAGTCTGCAGCTCCTTTTCCTTGCAGCCTTTTCTTACTTCCAAGTAAACAGAAAGTGGAGAGTGAGCAGAATGTGTCCATTAGAGACAGTGGTATTCCTTGTGTGCCACATATCCAGTGCTTTGGTCAGAGCAAAATACATGCACGCACTCCAGCTACGGAATACAAAATGTG